CTCTCTCTCTCTCTCTCTCTCTCTCTCTCTCTCTCATTCTCCCTCTCATTCTCTCTCTGACTCCTTCTCAGTGTTGACGTAAATTAATATATGACATGAGAATTGGTTTTCATTGAAAAAGTGATTTAAATATCAATTTTCAATGTATTTGTTATTCAGTAATAGTATTGCAAATAGTATTGAAATACTGGATATTCATTACATTTGCATTCGTTTACAATTTACTACACTTTACTATTGACTATCGTTTTGATGTCCCAATTGTATTGCCAAAGGGATTAAGATATGAGTTGTAATTATTTTTTAGTGTCTTTACTCCCTCTTACTCTCCTTATCTATTTCTCATCTCTCTCTCTCTCTCTCTCTCTCTCTCTCTCTCTCTCGTATTTTGTGTCAAAACGTCTACATTAAGAGAGAGTGCGAGAGAGTAGTAGTGATGAAAATATTTAATTTTAGTTAAAAGTGTTTTGTGTTTTATATATAACAACACATATTTTTCTCCCCTCCCTCTCAATAGCCTCTCTCTCACACAAACCCTCTTTAACTCCCTCTCAGTCTCTCTCTCCCACTCCCAGTACTCGACGATTAAATTGTCTTATAATTAGTTGTACTCTTAATATAGAAATTTTTATACACAACACAACTGTATAACACATTATTATATGTTTATACAACTCATGTACAGTATATACGGATATATGATATTAGTGTTTATGACATACACTCTGTGCTAACATTTGTCTGTACTGTCTGTCCATTTCAGTGATGGGAACGGTAGAGAACGCGCCCACATCTCCATACGATGTGTCGGTTATGCAACTCCGGGAGCTGATGGACAGCAGGGGTCAGGAGGGTATCCAAAAAATACAACAACAGTTTGGCAATGTGTTCGGCATTTGCAACGCTCTTCGCACTGCCCCTAATGAAGGTATCGTATATTGTCGTGTGGATCAGGTGCTGGTGATGGTTGCGCTGTTGCCGCCGCTGCTGTTGTCAGTGTTGGTGGTGACAGTTGTCCAGTGCCCGAACCTATCACTCATTATTTTTCACTTTCTTTATAACACCCCTTCTATTTCCTGATCTCTCTCTCTTAATGTAGACGTTTTGACACAAAATACGACNTAATATCATTTATAATGTTGTCGTTTAGCTATTGATTGATTTATCAGTGCTCTCTCTCTCTCTCTCTCTCTCTCTCTCGGCATTAAAATTAATTATTCATTAAATATTTCGCTGCATATTTTTCTACGAGAATAACAATCGAGGTTTTTATTTGCGTTATACACGACTACATGACTGGTAGAAAAAATGTGTTTTATATGTTTTTAGCGTTTATTTTTGTTTTATTAGTTTTTTTTCTGTTAATACATGTAATACCAGAGCCTCTCTATTAAGAAATTTTACGATAGTTTTGTCTCCAAAAAATTTTATATAACATTTGCATTATTGTCTAAAATGTTTATCACTCTCCTATGTGTGCCAACAAAATTAATTGTCATTCTCTCTCCCATTAACTCTCTCACTCACTCGTTCAATACCATTCTCTCTCCCTCCATCTCCCTCCATCTCCCTCCCCTCCCTCTCCCATTCTCTCTCCCATTCTCTCTCCCATTCTCTCTCCCATTAACTCTCTCACTGACTCTCTCATTGACTTTGATTGTCTCACTCACTAATACACACTCTCTATAACTCGGTTTAGGCTTAACGGGAAACCCGAAGGACTTGGAAAGTAGGCGGGAATTCTTCGGCGCGAATATGATTCCACCCAAACCTCCGAAAACATTCTTACAATTAGTTTGGGAAGCCTTGCAAGACGTGACACTAATCATACTAGAAGTGGCAGCTATTATATCGTTGGCGCTCGCCTTCTATAAGCCTCCGCCCGGGGAGGAGGACGACGAAGGAGGTAATCAACACAACGGTTCCCATTTGTGATCGACAACACACACAGTATAACATACAAGTAGTGGTAGCCATAGATCTATGCATTATCAGCGGTCACACAGATATAGCACACATACAGTGGTATTCACTCGTGAGGTGATCGATAAAGAACAGCCATTATTGCTGTGTCTAATACTCATTGACTGAATTCTCAGAGACAATACATATACACACATACAATAGATATACAGATTGTAGATATACTGTATAATAGATATATAACGACTAATGGATGCCTAAATCGATTGGCAAACAATGAGCCGATAATTGATTAGTCATTTTGTATTAATGAAACGTTTGTTTTGTTGCT